CAGATCCTTGAGGGACAGCACAGGCCAATGGCCAGGATGTCAAACAGGAGTCCCCCAGCACCACCCTCTGGGTGCTCCCCTTCAGGAAGGACTTGTGCCACTGTAAAACAATGCCTCCAAGTCCCATCCCAGAGAGACAGCCCAGAAGGATATCATGGTTGATGGTACTGAAAGCCTCTGAGAGGTCCAGCAGAACCAACAGGGACACACTCCCCCTGTCCAATTTCCAGCATAGCTCACCCACCAAGGTGACCAAAGCAATCCCTGTCCCATACCCAGGCCTGAAGTCAGATTGAAATGGATCTAGATCAGCCATCTCATCCAGGAACCCCTGGGGCTGAGAACCCACAACCTGCTCCAGCACAATGACTGTTGTGATTTTACTGCCTTAGCGTTAAGGTATAAGTTTTTCAAACACTTTAAATTTTTCTTTAGAACTGAGTTGGAAAAGTAGATGACAGAGATTCCAAAGGTTGGTAGGTTACAACTGCTGCCAAGTACACTTTCAAGGAAAAGTGAAACAGACCTTCCTCATTCCAATGTAGGAAGACTGATCTATTGGGATGGTTCACCCTGGCAGACTACTGGATCTAAATGGTTTCCAGGATGTCTTGGAAAGGTTTCCAAATGACCTGGTTGATGTTCCTGTTGAAGTCCAGGCAATCTGAGCTGATGACATGATCATCCCTCTCCATGGATGAGCTTAGGGCAAGGAAGCAACACAGAAGGCTAGAGTGCACTCAGAGGCAGATCCCTTCAGAGAAAAAATGGCCACTGTAAAGAAATTGTGCAACAGCTACACTATTGCAACAAGAGATGTGAAAAGAGCATGTAACATCAATAAAATCAGCAACATATCAAATCAGCATCTGGCACTGTATTAAGTACACTGTGATCTCACTGAGTCTGGATTTCAGTCAGCAGATGTTCCCTCATGCAAACAGTTTGAGGCTCATTTCAGACAAAAGACTGAAGCCATCTGTCAGGGTCTGCATTTCTCCAATGTTTTGGTAGATCAGACTGAGATGCCTGGTCCTATTTTAGTGGATCAGTTTTAGCCAATAACATTCAAGGAGGTTACCAGGGAGCTTTCTTGTTGTAGGCTCACTTTCAACACTCTCGATCCTTCCCTGGCTTGGCTTCTCAGAGAGCCAAGGAACTGATTCATCATTTATCCCATTTGTATTTGTACAAGTGCTTGGTAGTACCCTGTTTCCCTGAAAATAAGACCTAACCTGAAAATAAGCCCTAGTATGATTTTTCAGGATGCTCGTAATATAAGCCCTATCCCAAAAATAAGCCCCAGTGAAGTGAAACCCCACCTTCCACCATTGTGCAGCAACCAGAAGATGACAGGACTGTATTTAAATAAATGTAGATTATTGTACATGTAAGAAATAAAACATCCCCTGAAAATAAGCCCTAATGTGTTTTTGGAGCAAAAATTAATATAAGATACTGTCTTATTTTCAGGGAAACACGGTTTTCTTGCTGCAGTGGTATAGAATCATAGAATCATGAAGGTGGAAGGGGCCATCAAGTCCAAACGCCTGCTCGATGAAGGAATACAAGTCAAAGGATATCTGCCAGGTGGTTGTCTAAGTTTCTCCTGAATGCCTCCAGTGCTGGAGCACCCACCACCTCTCAAGGTAATTGGTTCCATTGTCTTACTGCTCTAACAGTTAGGATTTGTTCTTGACAAATCTGTGTTGGCTTCTAGTTATCACTGCACTCTTTTCTAGGTGCTTGCATAGTGACAGTTTTACAATTTGTTCCAGACTTTTTTCTGGAATTGATGTCAGGCCGACTGGCCTGCCATTCCCAGGTTCCTCTTTTTTGCCCCTTTTGAAGATAGGGACAACATTAGCCCTCCTCCAATCTTCTAGCACCTCACCCATTCCCCATGATTTCAAGAAAATAATGGACAGTGATTCTGAGAGTTCTTCAGCCAGTTCCTTTAGTACTCTTGGATGCAGTTCATTTCACCCCGGAGCTCTGAACTCATTCAAGGTAGTATGGTATTCCTTGATTATTTGTTTATCAAACTCCAGCAGCAATCCTGTCCCCTCCACTTGTACTTCACATTTGTCTGGAGGTTCATAGTCTGCTCTATGAGAAAAGACTGGGCAAAAATAGAAATTGAGCACCTCTGCCTTTTCTTTGTCCTCTGTTACAATGTCTCCATTTCCATTGAGTAGCTGAGCTACTTTCTTTTCTTTGTCTTTTGATTCACACATACCTGAATAATTTTTTTATTGCTTTTAATGTCTCTATCTAATCTCAGCTCATTCTCAGCTTTTGTCCTCCTAATGCCATCCCTGCATTTCTTTGTTACTTGTCTGTACTATTCCTTGGTGACATGACCTCTTTCCACTTCCTATACATGTCTTTTGTTTTATTTTGTTTTGAGGTCCTCCCTGAGCTTTTTGTGAAGCCACACTGGCCTTTTTTGCTGCCCACATCTTTTTTTTTCTTGTTGGATTTGTTTCTAGTTGTGCTTTTAGAGTTTCTTTTTAAAGAAACTCCCACCCTTCTTGGGTTCCTTTTCTTGTTAGGATCACCTGCCATGAGACATTACTCACCCTTGTTCTGAGATTATTATAATTGGTTTTTTTAAAATCCTGTATATGTGTGTGGCTACACACTGCTTTGATTTCCTTTGAAATCAAGTATTTTAGTAGAACATGGTCACTCTCGCCCAGAGTTCCTCTTATTGCCACTTGCCCCACCAAGTTGTCTATTGGTTAGAATCAAGTTAAGGATAGCTGGTTTTCTAGTTTCTTTCTCCACTTTTTGTACGAGAAAAATTCTAAGCCACACAATCCAGGAATTTCTTGGAATGACTATACTTGGCAGAATTTGCCTCCCAAAATATATCTGGTTCATTGAAATCTCCCATCGCTACTACAGTGGAACTTCTACTTGCAAACTTAATCCATTTCGGAACAGTGACCGTAAGCTGAAATGTTTGTAGGTAGAAGCACCATTTCCCATAGGAATGCATTGAAAACCGATTAATCCGTTCCGGCTGAAGAAAAATCACCAAAAAAATAAAAAGAGCACAGCAAGCCCAGTCGGAAGGTGCTCCATTGCTGAGGCTTTAAGAAAAAAACACACACAAAAAAACTAGAGGCACCTCCGTTGCTGAGGTTTAAGAAGGAAAAAAAACTCCAGAGCCCTGCAGACACACACACACATAATCTCACTCCTCCGAAGCAGAGCACAGAAACATACCCTCCCAGCAGACACAAACACGCTCACTCCGAAGCAGAGCCTCTAACAACACAGCACAGAAATACCAAAAACCACCCAGAACAGTTTTTTAAAGGAGAAAACAGGAGCTTACCTCCCTGCAGGCACACACACAGGCTCACTCCGAAGCAGGAGGCTCTCCCACACCCTATAACTACCGAAAGAGCAACAGCACAAAGAAGCAGCCTCGGCACCACCTACAGTTAGATATTTGAATTGCCCACCTTTTTTCTTGCCTTTTTCTGTTCGTATCTTGAAGCTCCATTTGCAAGTAGAAGCAAAATTTTGCAAATGGAGCTGTTCGTAAGTTGGATCGTTCATAGGTAGGGACGTTCGCAAGTAGAGGTTCTACTGTACATCATGTGTCTTTGAAATCGTTGCAATTTGTTTTTCAAAAGTTTTGTCCACTTCCTCTCCTTGATTGGGTGGCTGGTAGTAGACTCCAACTACCACAATGTTCCTTTTGTTTTTCGCCCCAACTAGATTGATCCAGTAATAGCATATATAGTAATAAATTTGGAATGGAAGCATCCATTGTGTCTTCACAGCCAGCCCTTACTCTCAAGATCCAAAAATTCCAAAAAATACAGGATGCTGACAAGTCCATTTCAACAAACGAGCAGCAGATTTTTTGTGAAATTAGCCATTATTTGCTGTTCCTAGCATCTGCAGCTAAGCTCAAAGAGAACAAGGAAAACCTGAAGGAAGTAGCAGATAATGTAAAAATACCTGGTATTCAGGAAGTCTTGGGATTTGATGCTGTAACGCTGGATCCTCTTCACCACTGCACAGAAGGTTACAACCGAAGGGAACAGAGTCCTATTTATGCTGGTACCGAATACAAACTACCAGACCTTGGCCCTTATATCTACTGTCTAAGGGGGAAAGCAGCACGACACAACAGAGTACGGGATTTCCAGTGCTAAAATATACGTTCAAATCTTTGTGCTGTCATCAAAATCAAGTGAATTTTGACTGGCCTGTCTCTTGACTTGACTTCCTGATATTGTTCTACATATAACATGTGGGAGAAACCCAGAGAAACTAGCCTAAGCTTCTCAGATCTCACATACAAATTTAGTCAATAAATATATAAAATTAATTTGGAATCTCAAAGCTCAAATTATATTAGAACACAAATTGTGTCTTTATCATTTCAGGGAATTGTGGCATGTATTAAGTTTAACAACAAAAAAATTGCTGAGCTACATAGATCAATGGTCTGACCCAGTTTAATGCAGCTTCCCAAGTTTCTTACTGTTTTAGTATTAGGGGGGAAAGGAGGTAAGACGATGATGGCAGTGCCAGCATGGGTGGTCACATACTACAGTTTGGAAGAAGTGGTTTGTAAAAGTGGAGGCTGCCTGACATCTGGGTTGCTAAAACCCAGAATGACCTGTCCTGCATGTACTCACCGAAAGTGGTACCGAAAGATAATTTAGTTAAAGGGAGGTAGCAAGTACCGGCAATATTTAAGGAAGTATCTATGGTATGGGTTGGGGAAAAAAGTATTGTATAATAAAACTTCAACAGTAAGCTATACAGCAAAACTTACTCAGTTAATGTTTATGCCATTTTAAAAAACCGAAAAAGGGATGCGCTTATGAGAAATAATAACTGTTTTTAACACAGCAAATGCTATCAGTTTTAACTATTGTCTGATTTTCCTCTAATTCAGAAGACGCAAGTTCAGAGGTGTTATGCTACCACTAGGTCATGCTTAGAAGTATTTTGGAACTTACTGTTGCTTTCTTCACAGCATGCCCAGTCTGAAGATGAATTATCTTCAGGATGATGGAGAGGAAAAAGTAGTGTATGATGAACTGGAGTGCAAAATCTGTTATCAGAAGTTCAGTGTTCACAGTCGCAAACCCAAAATCCTGGACTGTCTTCACAGAGTGTGTGCTAAATGCCTTACAAGAATCCTCTGTGTTGGAGATGGCTCCCTTTGCATTTGCTGCCCTTTCTGCCGCCAAGAGACAGAGCTGCAAGAAGAGGAAGTAGAAGGGCTCCCTGATGATACAAATGTGATGTCCAAACTCATGACAAGAGACAAAACAGCATGGAACTCGGACTGCAAAGAAGTCATCTTAACACCAAAGAACTTGGCTTCCTCAAGTCCTTCTCATGGGTCATCAAACTGCTTGGTAATAACTATCACAGCAGTACAAAGAGACTCCACAAGGACTTCGAGCCAAAACACCCTCTCAGATTACTATACCAATCAGAGTCTTGAATCAGCATCTGTAAACTCTCACAGTCAACTTGAGCGAGATAATTTCTCTAAGTTCTGTAACCACATCCCCAGAATACTTGTGTGGCTGCTTGGATTTTTTTACTTTGGTTCTTTGCCACTTGGTATCTATTTACTAGTTATCCAGAAAGTGACCCTAGGAATCGTCTGTGTCAGCCTTGTACCATCCAGTCTAACAGTTTGTCTTGTGTACGGTTTCTGCCAGTGCCTCTGCCAGGGAATGTGTGACTGTTCCTCTAGAAACTGACTTTTCAACAACTACAAAATCAATTTTGGATATCAAAAGTACGACCCTTCAAACAAAATCAATTTTGGATATCAAAAGTACGACTCTTCAAATATTGAAAGACTACAATGCTTTTTGAAGTAAATCTAAATGGCCAACAAAGGAACAGCTACATATTGATGTCACTAAATGCATATCCTACTCTTCCTCCTTTTGCCATACTGTAGTGTAAGCAACAAAGACAACCTATAGGGATTAACAATTCCCACTGAGTCTCCTAGAGCAAAATTAACTAGGGTGCCTGTGGTGTACAATATGGAACACATTAGATAGAAGGCAACATTTTCTGCACCTCAGTCATGTCACTGAAATCAACCCCTTTATTTTCTTTCAAAGCTGACTGACCACTTTATTTGAAAATGTATTGACTACAGAGCAGTACCCCACCCCAGAGAGAACAATGTCTCTCCTGTGCTTCCTGAGGTTTGAGAAACAGTAGACTTTCTAATGCTTTTCCCTTTCCCAAACTCAAAATCCAGTTTTAAGTGGGTGGCGGAATGATGGGAAGGAAGTGACCTGTAATTGTTCTTCAGGAACAATTACAAGTCATGCTTGGTCTAGAAAATCAGGTATAGCCTCTGGGCTAAAATCAGGCATGACCTCTTGCTCCGATGAGAAAGAATCTCAGTACCAAATGGTGAAAAGATAAAGCAGGAGAACAGAATTGAGACTGAAGTCTTTAATCTTTTCCCCATTTGTCAATTCAATTAGTTTGAAATAAAAGTTTAAATCTGTCTGCACCTATAGTCTGAAGAATAATTAGATGAAATAATAGTATCCATTCCTCAACTTATATAAAATTTGTAGATAAAGCTTGGATATTGTTAGGGGAAAATGAGTGCCTTTAGGTCACACTCCCAATTGCCAGTTGAAAGAGAAATTATTTCTGCAAATTGATTAATAGCTCAGATACACTGAAACAAGAAACCTCTATTATATGGACTGTCCTAAGATAAGGACATTCTTTCATTTCAAAAGGGGACAGTTTGGATTTTTTCTTCTTCGACAACACACCATTTCTAATTTTAAGATTTATCAACAAACAATTGGAAGTGTGAGAAGTGAAATTAATCAGCATAATCCAATAGTTAGACAGCAAGCTGTAGATACCTCTGTATGCTAAAATCACCCCAAAATGAAGAACAGATTGCTCTCCGTAACCTAATCTAGATCCCTGGAAACTATGCACACATGGAATTCCTCCTCATATATATATCTGTGCAGCTGGCTTCAGAGAAGCAGTAGTTACGCCTTACCACTCTAACCAGGGGATTTCAAGCTAGGCTCAGAATCATGTTTAAAACATATATTTAGAAGCATACATGCAGAAAGACATGTTGGGCATGGATTCAACTAAGGGATTTTGTAGAGGATGGGCAAGATGTAGAAGATGTGTCACCTATAGCTTGCTACTGTGAACAAGCTGCAGCCAGAGCCCCAATACTATTCTAGCTTCCTCAAAACATTCAGGATGAGGGCTGATGGATCAGTAATGTCCAGTAATCCTGATTATCTCTCTTGTTCGTGCCAATCCCTTCTCCACAGGCTCCAACTAGCAAAAGAAATTCAATCAAATAAGTTAGCAGGTGTCTCACCCCTTTCCTTGTGTATTTAAGAGCTATCCACACTGTAGTTGTTAGCCAAGATGACTATGTATCACTGCCAATAGCTTCTCTGAATATTACTTATGAGGGACAAGACAGACTTCTCTCATGTCTTGCCAATGAGTACCTTATAGGCAAGTGACTGGACATGGTGTGAACAGAAGGTTGGATTGCTCAAGACACTTCTCAAGCTAGCAGTTCATCCGGGGATTAATGTTTTGTGAAAAATACACTGTATAAAGAAGAAAAAATGTATTATGCTCTATGCAGCTGCTAAGCCAACCCAACCAGAAAGAGAAAGGAGGTACTAAAAACATTGGACACAATTCTGTTCATGCTGGTGTAAAGCCCAGCAACAAAAAAATCGTGCTATGCACATGTGTAATCAGTTGCACATTCTTGGCATAACCAACTGTGCAATGCACCAGTGGAAGTACAAAACTACTTTCTCAGTGACAAACAGCTTAAAAGAAATAAGTATAAATAGGCTGTCCCTTGACATGCCCTTCTTATCACTAGGGGTGGTATCTAACTGGTGGAAAGTAAAATCACTTAATTTGGTTGCATCCAAAGGTCACATCTCCTGTAACTGATGTGTTAAACTTGGAGAGATACCTAATAAAAGAGGTATCCTTATTCTTTGAATTCCAACCTGTGATGTTCCATAAAAGAACAGAGACATACTGTATTCCTAAAGATCTGTGTGTCAATATGTCGACTCCTGAGATCATGGAGATTCCTGCGTTTCCATCATACCCTCATTTCTGATAGACATATCAGGAAGGACCATGAGAATACACTGAGTGACAAGTGACTGCATTAAATTATGTTGAAGTAAAGCAGATTGGGGAACATCTTTTAGGGGAACAGACTGAACTGTTGAACCCTTATCTTGTGGTAATGTTGTAATTGACTTAAATACAATTGGTGGAGTCTCCTCCTCCCTAGTTTGCTCTTCATGCCTCCCACTCTGCTTCTTGCTTCAGCTCCATATCTTTTCCCTTTCTCAATTAAGTCCCGTTAAACTCAACAGGAGACATTCCCAGGTAAGTATGTATAACACTTCAGACGTACACTTTTACTAGATGTATTTTATGCCATTAAACACATTTTGAAAGTTTTGGAATTTCAGCGGTTCAATGTAAACTGGAGCCACAATATCTTTTTTTGTTCTGCTTCACAGGATGGTTAAAAGTATACTGGGTTTTAAAAAACATAATGATGTTAAATTTGCACCTAAACATGTAAAATATTTTAGCTATCTTGTCAGTGCTGGATTCCCCTCCCCCCCTTTTAATTTTAGGCGTACACAGTTCTTGTAGCAATAAGTGATTCTCTGTCTCTTTTTAGCAAGAAGTGTACCGTGTTTCCCCAAAAATAAGACACTGGATTCCCCTCCCCCCCTTTAATTTTAGGCATACACAATTCTTGTAGCAATAAGTGAACCGTGTTTCCCCAAAAATAAGACAGGGTCTTACATTAGTTTTTGCTTCAAAAATGCATTAGGGCTTATTTTCAATCTTTTTTTTCATGTAAAACAATCTACATTTATTCAAATACAGCCATGGAATCTTCTTCTGGTTGCTGCACAATGGTGGAGGGAGGGGTTTCACTTAACTGGGGCTCATTTTTGGGGTAGGGCTTATATCATGAGCATCCTGAAAAATCATACTAGGGCTTATTTTCAGGTTAGGACTTATTTTGGGGGAAACAGGGTATACAGAAGGTACTCTGGAGTTCACAAGGGAAAATGGAGTTCACAAGGGAGATCCTGCTCCCACCACCTCAATTAACAAACCTAATCTATACCACAAGGACACAGAAAATGACACCATTTATACATGCGACAAGATAAAAAGTACTTAACTACATAACTGATCCAAGAACACCCACTCTTATATGGATAGCATATTGTGTTAAATACAAAAGCCCTACTTTGGAGCACTATGAAAATAAAATAAAAGAAAAAATACAAGCCAGCCATGTCACAACAATGGGACATCCTTGTTCCACAAACTATTTAATTTTATATTGAATTGGGTTTTTTTTACAAAATTTCATCCTGCCTTCCTTGACTCAATTCATTTCTCAATACCCCAAATATTTTTAAAAATAAAGATTCAGTGGTTCACAACAACACGTACTTTAATTGTTCTACTGTAGAGCACAACTGCAGAGCTGATTGCCAGCTCACTTGTTCATGTAACTAGGTAATTCATGCCGTCAAGTAAGAAAGAATCCCAATTAAGCAGTCCACAGGTTTTCTAGCTCATGCATCCTCAGAATCTTCAGGTATGGCTGCAGAAGGGACAAAAGTGTTTTGCACATTCTAGAAACAGAAAAGAAGGAAACAAATCTATATCTCATTTGCCAAAGTCCTCCTTCTCACAGTATCTCACCTCCTGCTGAAAAGGTACACAAGACAGCACCCAGTCTGCTTGACCATGTCAAATACAGGGATTAAAGGAAGTCTCTTAAGAGATGCTGATATACTTACAAATGTTGAACTTGGGAGACTGATTCTCCTGCTGAACTACAGGACAAAGTACATGGCTTAACTTTTCATAAACAATTAGTTGTTAATGAGGTCAACAGTAATACCACAGGAGTTGGACACTATCCTTCACAAGTTGTACATGGCTTAACTTTTCAGAAACAATTAGTTGTTAATGAGGTCAACAGTTTACTAATGTACACAGTGGATCTTTCTCTGAAAATATTGGGTATCATTTGCTACTTTGAGATGTCAGGGATTAAACTGGGACTTACTATACACAAAAAGCATGAGAAACACATGTAAAGTTATTATCACACATCTTATTCCTTCTGAATAAAAGCAATGGGGCTGTTTATTATCACACATTCCTTCTGAATAAAAGCAATGGGGCTGTAAATGGCTACAGTCCACATACGGTAATTTAGGCTGCTATAGCCACAGTAGTGTCTCCCTGCAAATCTGGATCTACCTTCTGTCAATCTGAAGCTACCCTTGAATATGTACTCTTCCACCTATCCAGGACCTTTCTTTCTTTTTTGGGGAGGGGACTTAGTAATGATGCACTGGCTGGATATCTAAACCATTGGGTTCAGATATCCAGCTATGGAGCCAGTGGCTGGGAGTTCAATTCCCCACTGTGCCTCCTGAGAGATGAGATAGCCTGCAGTTTTTGGCCAGGCTACACAGTGCCACGGCACTCCCAGAAGAAAAGAACAGTAAACCACTTCTGTGTATTCCCTACCTAGAAAACCCTGGAAAGAACTGCCATAAATCAGAATCAACTTTACAGCAAGCAATTATTAGTAGTAATAATAATGGAGCAGCACTACACCGGCAATGGTAACACCCATGCTTGATGCTAACTAATTAGTCATATATTAAATAAAATGTAAAGTTAGGATGTGAGGAATTCAAGGAAACTGGGACTTGTAGTCATATAAAGATGGAGTCTGTTAGGTTCTGTGCAAGATGAATTTAAAAGCAATGGAATGTTATGAGACTGTTTTGCAGAGTCGCTTTGCCTGGTACAGAAATGAGGATGCAAGGCCAGAGATGCCCAGGAGAAGACCAAACAGCATACTGCTTAATTGGGAACGAGATAAGACACCTGCAGATCTCATGTGAATTATGGGTGGAGAACTCTGTTACGCCCTCATGATCTTAATTGGTTAACAGCCTGGACGTGTCATAAACAAGACATGTAGAAAAATGTTCATGTAAATCTAGTGTGGATTTGAGAAGGTCACTAAGTTGCTAAGTCCCAAGGAAACACACAGTCAATGGTTTATTGCTTTGAAAGTAAGCAAAGGTTAGTTTTAGGATCTGGCTTGTCCATGAGGCTTGTACCACATACTTCTGAGGCCTAAAGGACCTACCTCAGGCAATAAAGGTGGTGGTTTTGTGC